GCATAAAATTCATTTTGCACAAAATAAATTTCCTGTTTCCCCAAATTTAGAACAAGTCAAGTAATGAGTGAAGTTAACCTTTACAAATTACTACTGAAGATATTAAAGTAACCAAACTTTGGAAAAACATTAGATGGTAACATTCTATCTTTTAACATTTGTACACCAACTTTAAAACTAATGATGTATTTGTAAATTAAGAACTGAATCAAGAGAGGTGGTACATGCTTGTAATCCCAGCTATGGTTTGCTTGGAGACCAGTAGATCTCTTGAGCTCAGAAGTTCTGAGTTACAATGGTCTAAATCATTCAGTTGTCTGAACTGGCATTAGTTGGCATTAGTATAGTAAGCCCCTGGGAATGGCAGGCCACCAGAGTGGCTGAAGATGAATAAATCTGCCCAGGCCAGAGGAAGTCAAAGCTCCCTTATCAATCAGTAGTGGTATTAGGGCTGTGAATAGCCACTGAAGTTTCAGTTTGGGTGAGATAGGGAAGGAGACCTCGTCTTAAAAATGAGAAATGAACATCATTTTGAAGTGAAGAAAATGACAAACATTTGCCTCAAATAACAATTTCAATTTGGAAAGTGAATCAGACAATAAACAATAACCCAAATGAGAGAAAATCATCACTAAAAAAAAGTAGATGGAAAGTTGGGGTGAACAGAGGGAAAAAGTGAATATAGAAACTTCATTGCCTTTTGGAAAGCAACATACATTTCTCTCTCTTTTAAAATTATTTTTATTTTTATTTTTATTGTTTTGTAACATATATTTCTTACGGAGATGGAAGATAGTATTTGCCCCAGGCCATATTCTCCCTCTGCTATTTTATCAATGCTCCTTTCATCTCTCCTCAAAATCTCTTGGTTTTCCCCCTGATTTTCTTTTCTTTTATATGAAATTCAATGGATCTGAAATCTCAGCAAGGTAGGCACATTCTCCCATAGCACAAAACACAACAGATCCACAGCTATCCTTTCATGCCGTTGTCCATTTTCTCCCATAAATACTCCACAAAGCACCCACCCAATTTTCTGAACACAACCAATCTCTCCAGATTGTCTTGACATTATTCCTCTTCTCAAATATTACTCCCTTTCATAAACTCTGCGATGCAGTCAAATTGGCCTTTTCCCTCTTTCTTACAGATACTTTCCACCCTTACTTCCACCTTACAGACTATCTTCCTTTTAAGACAAAGGTCAGGCATCATCTCCTTTGTGAAACTTTTCTTGATCCAATTGAAAGTGCCCTCTTTCACAAAGATACATTGCATTTAAATAATTTGAACATATTTATATTTAGTCACTTTACATTTATATTTATGGTATATATATTTCTATGTGTATTTATTATCTCTTCCATTAGACTATTAGCTTTTTGCAAATAGGAATTGTTTTATTCTTTGTGCTTCTACCCCCAGGCACAGCAAGTGTCTGGCACATAGTAGGCTCTGAATAAATATTTACTGATAGTGACTGATTGAACTGCAGCCATAGAGCATGCTGGAAGAATGTTAAAAAGGACCATAATTTTAGAAATAGTCTTGGGGTCACTAAAAGCACTGAGCAATTTCCCAAAAGCAATCTAGTCCTCTCTCGATCTTCTCTTTAATTCTCAGTTCATTTAATTGTTTTTTCTACAAAGTCTGTCCAAAATATATGTATTGATAGATTAGCTTTTTAAGCCATCCATTCAACTTCATATTACAGCTTGGAGGAGAGCCATCTTTATTTACTTTTTTTTTCCTTGTCTGGATAGTTAGGCTGAAAGATTAAGAGTGATTTTGATTTTCATTTATGAGGTTCTACAGTGTTTGCTTGATGTATAAGCATATATAATATCAATATACGTATAAAATTTATACTTCATATATCAAGTATGCTTCATGCATAACATTCTGTTACCACCAAAGATGATTATTACCTTTTATAGAGACTCTCTATTCCAGTCCAGTGTGAACTGGATACCCTCAATAATAGTAATAAACACTTTCTGGAAACATGAAATTCCTTATTTATTTTCCCCTTTTCTGATATTGACAAGAGGATCATTAAATTATTTTTATAACTTCAAGGAATATTATATTTTAACATGTGCATAGGAATTATCTCATGAGAGGAAAACCTTTAAGGAGGCATTTTACTCTACTAAATCAAATGCTTTTTACAGTCCAGAAAAATACAAACACAGTGGCATCTTCTATTCTTTTCCCTTTTTGTTCATAATGTGATTATAAAGATGGCCAGCTATAGAATATTACTTTTAGAAACTTGGATGCCTTGGGTTATATTCAAAAAGTCTTTTTACATTTGGAAACTAGACATATCAGTTAATAGTAAGTGATATTTTCTCGATGACATTTTTTTTTGCCAGTAATCAGGTCCATAATTTGCTCCAAGTGTTTCTATAGATGTTCTGAGAATAAATTTCTTGATACATTCCAAACTTTGTAGCATCCAGCAGAGATAAATATACCTTACCTATCCAGTCAATTTTCTAATATTTTGGATTTTTTAATGCCATTTTAATTTTTTCATGTAGACCAGGAGGGACTATGCTATAGAGTCCAAACGTGATAGATTCACTGTTATCAAGGGAGAAAAATTATACATCTTTTCAAATTTTTGTTCCTTTGTTTTATTTCTTCTAATTGTATCCATACATGCCATAGGGATCATCTGGCATAATAGAGTTCCTTGCCAAAGTTTCCAAAAATTGCTTTCCATTCACCAACTTCACCATGTTTAATGAGGCAATATTGCTCAGAATCTTCCTTTATACTTCCTCATAGGATTTTGCAGGTGAGTTTTGCTTACAAACCACATTGCCTTTGGCTGCTATATTTTTAAAATTTTTGTGCTTATCATCCCTAATGTCATCCCATCAACATTAACTTTTAAAGTTTTTATAAGAAAATTGAAGAATCCTATCAATCATTAAGATGTATTGTACATAATATAACAAATACAATTATTTTTAAAAGATGTTGCATTTTGTATGGAGAAAATATCTTCGGTATTGACTGACTCAGCTACTGATATTTTGTTTAGTTCATGTTGTCCTAATTTTATTTATTTTAGAAGTTTTATTAATACATTTTATGTATACCATAATCACTTCAAAATATGCTCTGATATATCCCCCTCTCCAATGATTCTTTCTTTGTAACAAAGGTAAAAATTTTCAAAAGTATAGCAAAAATACTTGCTTCACATAGCAAATGCAACACATTTATAGTTCACTCCTCTCTTCACCAAGAGAAGGAAGATATATTTTATCATCTCTTGTCCTGGACTGTTTGATTTAATTTTAATTATAGAGTTTTATCTAGTTGTTCTTTCTCTTTAAAAATCTCATAGCATTATGTATATTTGACTTTTTCAGAATATTTCACTCACAGTCTCTTTAATCTGGTCCTTTTAGACTTTTTTTCTTCTTACTACAAATTCCACGTGTCCTTTAAAAAGTCATCCCTTTGTTACCTTATTTCTAAACTCTAGCCCCACGTTACCAATTTTATCTTGGATATTCCAAAGTGGATATCCCAGATATATCTCAAACTCATATCCAAAATGGAGAAATCCTCACAACCTATCCCTCTACTGAATTTCTTTTTTTTTTTTTCTGGCAAGGAACTGCCATTCTTCTAGAATCCCAAATGACTAACCTTGGCATTATCCTCATCTTTTCACCATCCTTTATTCCACCTATCCACTTAGTTGTCAACCCTTGTCTTTTCTAACTCCACAACATCTCTAGCATCTGATCCTTTCTCTCTTCTCATACAACTACAACCTTAGATCAGGATTTTGTTACCTCTGCCCTAAACTTATAGATGACTCTGCCTCAAATCTCTTGCACTTCAAACCAGTCTATACATAACTGTCAAAGTAATTGTCTTTAAGTGCAAATCAAACCATATCAGTCTTCTATTTTCAATAGCTCTCTATTGCCTCTAGGATAAAATATTAACTCCTCTGTTTCACTTCTAAAGCCCTTCACAATCTGTTTCCAACTTATTTTATAGCATAATTTTACATTATTCCCTATCCCCACACTGTGATATAGCCAATTTTTTGTTTGCTGTTTCTCGTATGCAGCAACCCATGTTTGGCCATATCTAGAATGGACTCCTTGCCACTTTTACCTCATATAATTCTTCATTTCCTTCAATACACAGATAAGTATCACCTTCTATGCAAGGCCTTTCCCAATCCATAGTTACCTTTATTCCCTAACCACATTTTATTTAGCCACTTTTCATTTATTCTACATATATTCATATAAGCCTGTTATCTACCTCAATTAAATTTGAATGCCTTGAGATTAGAGATTATTTCTTTTTTTTTTTTTGTCTTTCCAGAACCTAACAGTTCCTGGAACGTGGCAAACACTTAATAAAGATTTTTGGGTTGATTATTGATTACTTACTAAGTCTATCATCAATAAACAATTGAACAATTACTTATTGATAGCCTATAGCATATAAGGCACGGGACTATGCTAGGCATAGGAGGCCATGCTATTCTTCTTGTTTATAGATTTCACCTCCTTGTGACAGTTGCAGAACAAATCTGCAGCCCAAACCCAAATCTATTATTCATGTACCTTCCTGTGCAATGCATGATATCCTTGAAAAGAAGAACCAAATTAAGTCAAACGAACAAGCTCTGAGTTCTTACTATTTGCCTAGTACTATATACCAAGAGTTAGCAGTGTATATAATAGAAGCAAAAGATGCAGAAGTTACTCCCCAAAAAGAATTGACAGCCTATTCAAAAGAGATTTCTGTACATGATACAATTAGTGGAAAATAAGAAACTATAAAATCAAGTGCTAAACTCTGGTACAGATAAAAACTACTAGAGAAGGTCAGAGAAGAAAGAGAAAGCTGTTGCTATTTATGTATTCTTCAATCAGTACTTAAATATTAAGATTAAATCTCTGTGTCCACAGAAATTGGCATACACACATAATAACCCAGAGTTAACTTACCAAGTGGTTGACCTGCAATGATCCTGGCATTTTCTCCTGCCACTGCAGCCCTGGCATGTCGTTCACTCATATACTGTACAAAAGCATAACCTTTATGCACCGAGCATCCAACTATTTTTCCATACTTTGCGAAGATGGCCTCTATGTCACCTTTTTTGACAATGGCTGTGTTCAGATTGCCAATGAAAACACGGGAATTGATGGATTTGGGATCATTCTTATTAGTGACGTTGCTGGTCTGTGTTTTGCCAGTCATGGTTGTCTCACGTTGTTTTAACCCTTAAATAAAGAAAAAAAAAGATTCATATTGATTACATGGCATATTTGCCAATTGTTGAAAGCAGAAAGACAGTGTGGTGTTGTGGCTAGAGTAAGCTTATCCTCAAAGCCAAAACAGTTGTTTTAAGTCCCATTTCTGACACCTATTAGCCATGTGATCTTGGGCAAGTCACTTCTCAGTGCTCTAAGCAACTGAGAATATGGAGTTCAGAGAATGCGGCCAATGTGCATTGGTAGAGGGAATATATTCAATTTCCCAATGCCAATGAAATCATGGGTCCCATTCCTATACTATTAATCACAATAATAAGTCTTTTAGCATAATCCCAAATCTCAATGTGTTACATAACTTCTTAGGTACACACATGCATATCATATATACATATTTTATATATGTATACTATAGTTCCAAATAAGTACATCAAAATATAGGTATATGTATACCTTTATAAATATGTAGGTATACATATTGATGAATAAAATTATATGCAATTTATAAATCAATTTTAACTTTGTATATTCTATAGAAATACATTTTTAAAAAGATTTCGAATTGAATTCTCCAGAACTCACTTAGATATTGACTTCAGACATAGATTTAGATTCAGATATTTTAAAGCATTTTAAAAGTGAATTCTGTAGATGCAGTCTGAGAATGAATTATTTTCTTCTGTAGATAAAATAATGATAATGAATTAAGTTAAAATAAGGACTAGACTATACGAATGACATTATTTTTGTTTATAAGCATCAGTGGAAATTACATTATCCATAATGCTAATAATAATCATTGTCTATGAAAGACAAATTTTAAGTGACAGTTATTAATTGCTGATAATACAGAACTGAACTATATAAAATCTTTAATATCAAGAAGTTTGCAGTTTATTTTGAAAATAATGTGAAGTTTTGAAAAGATCAAATAAGATGGCTAACTCAATTATAAAGAAAAATGTTAATATAAAACTATTGAATTATTAACAAAGGATATTCTTCAAAAATGTACAGGGCTACATATATTTATTTTAATGGAATCAATCACACACAGAGACTTTAAAATATATCTAGTAGATAATATCTATATATGAATAAGAATCTGGTATGTAGTAAGGGCAGCTAGGTGGTACAGTGAATGGAGTGCTAGGCCTAGAGTCAGGAAGACTCATCTTCTTGAGTTAAAATCTGACCTCAGACTTTACTAGCTGTGTGACTCTGGGCAAATCACTTAGCCTTGTTTGCCTCAATTTCCTCATTTGTAAAATGAGCTAGAGAAGGAAATGGCAAACCATTCTAGTATCTTTGCCAAGAAAACCACATATGGGGTCAGGAAGAGTGAGACACAACTGAAATGATTGAACAACAACAAAGCATTCTATTATTAACTAGTTTATCCATTCAGCTGATAACTGTAAACAACATTTTGGATATTTGATACTTTGGGAATCCATAATTTCATCAATATGTGTACTCCCTACACCAATGCCAATTACAAACCTATTGCTCCTAATGTTGTGTAATGTTCCTTGTTTATTTATTTCCATAAATCCACCGCAAAGGATATTCTAATGTTCTGAATTTTCTGTCATTCTTTTAGTATCTGAAAGTTACCAACACCACTATTCTTATAAATCTGGCTCAAAAAAAAAATTTCTATTTGATGCCATATGAGTAAAAATCAGGGAACACTATAACTTTTTTTTTTTTTTGGCTAGACAATAGGGTTAAGTGACTTGCCCAGGGTCACACAGCTAGTGTTATGTGTATGAGGTCACATTTGAACTCAGATCCTCCTGAATCCAGGGCTGGTGCTCTATCCAATGTGCCACATAACTGCCCCCAGAACACTATTATTTTGGAGGAAAAAATGCAAATAATTCTAAAGGCAATGAAAAGTCACATAGTAGATAGAAATAAGTTACAACATGAAGTATCAATATAGAAAGCATTCTCAATGGCAAGTAAGTCTGAAAAAGTTAAGTGGATCAGTCATATAGGAAGAAGCAGGGACAAGAAATAGAGAACATAGGAACTACACTGGATCATCAAGTTATCAAGTATTCAGTGTTGCTTACAATTATCAGTTAAGTAGATACATTGATTAATAACATAATGATTACTGTATACTCAATTCTCCTACTCATGAATGGGGATGAACTACAAGAATCTATTTTACATCTTCCATACATTATTTTTACTGTTCCATATTAGTCTTTCGTCATCTACCTCCATAATGTTTTGAAAATATGTTTCCACTCTAATGTTATTCTTGTTTCCATGTCCCTCTTCTAGGCAAAGAAAGTAAGTGTTCACCATTTGAGATTACCTTTTGACTTATGCAAGGCTATGACTTTTGTTTATCAGTTAAACTTTTCTAAAATTTGCAACTGTCAAGTCATTAAGAATTTCTTTAGAGTTTGGGTTAGAGCTTCTAAAATTGCATTCTTCTCAGTTTTCTTTTTTCATATTTATATTTATTTTTATCTTTGATGTAGTCAGTTGATGATGTTACAGAAGAAAGCTGATTCTGAAAAGACTACTGTTCATATAAGTACAAGAGTACTGAACTTGCAGTCATGGGGAACTAAGTCAAAATGCAAGGACTATCCTTATTACCTTTGTGACCTAGGTCACTGACACCTTTTGGGTGTCAGTTTCCTCATGAAAAACTGGATAAGTTGACTTCTAGGGTCCATATCCAGGACATATAAGTCACAATTACCTTCTGCATGATCTGTTCACTTAACACCTCACTATATGAGTATTCCTAAAACAAAACATCCAAGTATTCCCCCAAATGATGTTTCGTGTTTTCCTTGGGCATAATGAAACCAACTGAATCAACTCCTTTATGAGCTTCTTGAAGGAGAATCTTTGAATTATACTTATGTTTAACTACAACTTTTTGTATCTTCTAGTTAGAATGATAGTAAGAAACTCAACATGGATATGCTTCAGTTTCAGTTCCTTTGGTATTTTGTTAAATTTTTGATCACTGAACAAATATTTCATATTAAGTATCAATAGTTAAATTAATGTTTCAAATATTCTAGGAACTATGTTATTCATAGCATTGTTTTTCTCCCCTTTCCTGTCACTTTATTTTTATCCCTACCCCCTGCAAAAGGTGGCTAACCAAGTCTCAAGGTTATTTTTGTATTTTGGTTAATTTATTAGTTGTCAAAGCTAAAAATTTCATTACTTCTAACTTAGAAAACATATTTTTTTGATGCTACCATATCCAAATACTATGTTTTACATTTACTAAATTGTGCTTATTTCAGTAAACACTTATATAAACACACACAGACCCATACAATAATGTTCTGATGTGCTAAGTCCCTAATAACAACAACTAAGCAAATAAAATGTTGGATTCTCAACAGATGTATCTATAAGGGCACAATTGATTAACTGCTTATCATCAGTAAACATCAGGTAAGTGATAGGCTGCCAGTTTTACATTCCACATCTATTCTAAAAATAATTATGATCTGAAACATTTTATTTCAAACTGTAATTAATGAGTATAGTACATTTTTATCATGGGACATTAGAAAATGACTTCCAGCCTTATAAACTGAATGAAAATATGCCTGAAGTTTCACTTTCTGGGCATTTAGACCAGTTGCCACTTAAGCAAAGATCAATTGGGCAGTATCAAAGTATTTCAAACTAAGTGCCTCTAATGAGTACTGAGATTATTCTAGCTTTACTAATAATGAAGCATAGATATGATAAATATTTCCTACTACTTAAGATCAATTGCATATGCTTATGTAACTATACCATCAGAAATATAATAGCTTTATAAGCAAGTATTATGCTGATGCCATTTTTTTCAAACTAGTTACATATAAGATGCTGTCAGGATAAAAAATGAAGGAGGATTTTGAAAGAGACAGACTAGACTGCTTGTTTAAAAGAAAAAAAGCTCACATTTAAAGCCATGTTCAATTCACAAGATGAAAATGAATAATGACTCAAAATGAACCAAGCACCAAAGACAAGATGAAATTTCATAGTTCTAAATCAAACTTCTGCTATTGTATATAAATCTAGCATCTCTTCCTTACATGTAAAGGGGAAAAAAAAGTCACTTGTTTTTGGACTATATAGATGTCTACTTCACAAGAATTACTGTTATAACTGGAAATGATTCCTTTGTCACCAGAGAAGGCAAAAATTAATAATGGTTACTATAAAATTCATAGTCATATGTTGCCTAGAGCCATGACCCTTTCCATGCCCATTGTGTAAATACTTCAAAGGATAATGTAATGTCATTTCCAAGACATGTAAACACTCTTTTAAAGAACAGAATTGTCAGTGAAACACTGAACTTTTCAAAATATAAAAATAATAGACTTGTTATACTAGTCAACATAGTCAATGTAGCCCAATAACCTATCTTTGATACTATCACCAAGTGAAATTATTATTGAGGTATCGTAATTCTGTTCTATACAATTTCTATCTTTTGTTGAACTTATCCACACTCAGAGCATAAGCCATTGCCTCCCTGTGTGTGAGTCCTAGGTCCTCACTTGTTCCTAAATTCTCAACTTTTATATCTGTCTACTGAGTATGACAATGTCACTTCAAATGAAATATATCTACAACCAAATTCACCACTTGTCCACAAAACCAGCTACTCCTTCTGATGTCCCTGCTTATATCAAGTGACTGTGGTTCCTGTCTATAAAAATTCATTAAATTTTCTTGATTTATTTTTCAAAATGTCTCTCATACCTGCCTTTTATTTTGCAAAAAAAAATTCCCTTTTTATTACTTGAACTTCACAAACATTAAAGAACATGGATATTACTCTGGATAAAGAACAGAGAAGAGGAATCCTGTTTACAAAACCATGAATCTCTACCATGTGCAGCTTACCTTCTTTAATTCCATTGTCACTACTCTGATTTAGGTATTATGAAATTAGGCCTGAGTTTCTTCCATGGTTTTCTAATTAATAACTATCTTCCCTTGCTCACA